CGGGCCCTAAGGAGGCCAAGCTTGTGGCAACAAGGGCCAGGTCCTTTTCAGTGGCGGCTCCTACCTGGTGGAATGAGCTCCCGAAGGAGATCAGGGCCCTGCAGGACCTTGTGCAGTTCCACAGGGCCTGCAAGACAGAGCTCTTCCGCCAGGCTTACGAGTAGGAGCGGCCACGGCCACTTCCACCACCGCTCCTTTATAGAGAGATACTGCCGGAGGGCTGGGCAACATCTTTCCATGACCCTAGCCTTCCCCTCTGCTACGCAAGATGTTAGGAATTTTATATGTGCATCCGTCGAAACCGATTTTTAATTGTTTTAATTTTTGTATACTGTACGCACTCTGTGCCCTATGTGAGCCGCCCTGAGCCCGTTTGCGGGGAGGGCGGGGTGTAAACACAATAAATAAATAAATAAATAAACTCCCATGAGAACTGGGGGAGCACCATGCCCTTTAAGGCCTCCACCTTCCCTACCAGCATTACCTCTGTCTTTTCAGGGTTTAGCTTCAATTTGTTCACTTTTAGCCAGTTAACTACAGCAGCCATGCAGCTATTTAGGCCCTCTATCACATTTCCAGGAGATTTGGATAACGATAGATAGAGCTGGGTATGGTCAGCATGTTGATGACAACCAACCCCCAAAGTGCAAAAGATTTGACCTAAGGGCTTTGCATAGAGATTGAAATGCGTGGGTGGGGGGAATTGTGCCCCGTGGAACCCCCAAGGTAGGTCCTACACTGATGACAGCTGGTTTCCAATAGCAGCCCTTCAATCCATGACGAATGATTTGAACCAGTTCAAGGTGCATCCCCTGATATCTACTTCTGTCTCCAAGCATCTCAACAAGATGGCATGATCTGCTGTATCAAAGCCTTCAAATAAATCCAGTAAGAGCAACAGAGACATAGCCTTTGTTTACACTCAGATGGAGGTTGTCAACTAAAGCTAGCAGTGCCGTCTCTGTCCCACAGCCTGACCTGAAGCCAGACTGGAAAAGGTCTAGATCAGATGAGCTGTTCAAGGTTTGGTCAGCTACTGCTCTCTCAGTCACTTTGCCCAGAAGGGGTAGATTACAGACTGGGCAATAATTGGTCATGTCGTTTTTTCTGTAGGGATTTTTTTAAACTAGCAGGCAGATAACTGCCTCTTTGAGGGTCTGAGGGAAGGTGCCTTGAGTTAGTGATTCATTTATAATAGATGCTAAGGGTTGCTTGTTATGATTTTAGCAGTTAGGATGGGCAAGAGTCCAGGGTACAAGTAGTAGCCTACACAGATCCCAGGACCTTGTCAACATCCACCATAGAAACTGGGTTAAAATGATCTATGAATAGACCAGGCGGTGTATTAAGTCTTTCTTCTGATACACTTATATTACAGCTGACATCCAGATCAGCATGTATTCTCAATATTTTATCACCAAAAAACTTGGCAAAAGTATCACAGCTAACTGTCTGTGCCTGGAACAGTTAGGGTTCAAATTCAGGCCTCAGCAGATGCTGAGCTATCTTGAACAATAGGGGTGGATGTGAAGTAGCTGATGCTGTAATAGTAAAGAAGTAATCTTTCTGTTCCACCATCACCGCCACTTCATAAATCTTACGATGAGGTCTACAGCATGATCTGTCAGATTCAGTGCGATTTCTCTGCCAGCACCATTGTAGATATTTCTCAACCCTTTTTGGATCACCCAGCTCCGTGGTAAACCAGGGGGTTGGGTTTTATCCCCCAAGTGAGGGAGTTCAATGAGGGGCAACCTCGTTGATAGCTTCAAGGAGTGCCACACTTCCACTGCGATCTCAACAGAATGCATGTTTGGAATCCTGAAATCCCCCAGAGCATTCTGGAATTTTTGACAGTACTATATCACTGAACAACAGTACAGATATCCTTTGTGCTCTGTCATGAAAAGTTGAGCATCATTGCATACTTGTAAACATCTGTAACTGTCATAATGCCTGCTTCACCTGGATCCTGCCATGTCTTCAAGCAAATCCTGAAAGAGCAGGTTCATACAAACTAAATCCAGAAGCACCCCCTCTATCTGTTTTTACGACCAGCTTTGCTGCCTTGGGGTTGGGGTAGTGTCATGTATGCATTGGTGAATACTTATCTGAATGACTACCGTGTTGGTGGGAATTTGAGTGAAGTCCTCCAGAAGTCACAGGAGTTTATTTTTATTTATTTATTTATTACACTTATATCCCACCCTACCACACAAGCGGGCTCAGGGCAGCTCACAACAGTAATATAAAAACAATTAAGCAATTTAAACAATCAAAGCAAGATGGCACAAAAACACTTAACAGTCGAACTCTCCTGTAGGATTTTAAACAGATGGCAATAGGTAGCCCAACTTATAGCAGTTTTTAAGCAGATGGTAGTAGGTACCCTGATATACACTAGGTGGGTACCAGGGGCACCAAAGGTTATCACACACACACACAAAACCTTTATTGGCATTGAAAGCACAAGACATCATGGAAATACGGGAAAATACTAAGATGCATCAGTCACTTACACTTGGCTATTCAAGCCTCGTCTTCTGATTGCATAATATAAAAATTTTGCAACAGCCTCCATTATTTCGCAATTAGAATGGAGCAGAAGAAAGTGAACAATTGAGTCATCAGAATGCCACCCTCTAGAAGTGGAGTAATAAAACGAGATCGGATATCCCTATAAAGGGGGCAATGAAGTATGGTGTGTGTAGTGGATTCTATATCTTTTTGAGAGCAAGGGCAAAGTCTGTCTACATATGGTATCTGGTGGTACCTCCCTAAAAGCACCTCCGATGGCAGAACATTAAAGTGTGCAAGCATGTATGCTCTGCGACGGTGTGGGGCTGTTAAACTTAACGGATATTTTGCAGTAGAGCTCGTGTCAAAAGCCCCCAGCCTACTTGGGGAACATCTGCTGGCTGCATGTTCCCTAAGTTCCTGCCTTTCGATGTCGAGAAATCTTTGTTTAATAATAGCATAGGCTTGTTTATCTGAAAAGGAGGCTAAATAATCCGGGGATATTCCCATTGTACAGAGTTTATATATCTAAGCCATGGAGAGAGATGGGACTCAGTTAACATGTGAGTAATAATACTTTTAGCTTTAGCATGGAAATGAAGTTTAAGCCAGAACTGAGTTGTTATCCGCCATGCTCTGGTCGATAGAAGCCCCACTGGTGGACCTCCTGATGGCACTGGTATTTTTGGCCACTGTGTGACACAGAGTGTTGGACTGGATGGGCCTTTGGCCTGATCCAACAGCTCTGGTCGATAGAAGCCTTTGATTGGTTTCTAAGCATAAAGCTGCTAAGGAACACACAAGGGAAGTCCAGGAATTTTCTGCAAAAATCTGGACTGAATTCTTTCCAAGTCCCCTTTTAAGGCTTCAATCCAGATTGTTACTCCATAGAATACTTGAGCAGCTAATTTGGCATTAAAAACTTTAAGGGCCGCCGGCATATACTGGTTACCCCTGGTATAATGGAAACGTGTAATCGCCGCAGCGATGTTCACTGCCTCAGTTGCTCTCTCTTTATGATAGACCCATCTGGTGTTATAGTAAAAGTGGATACCCAAATACTTAAAGCTTTTGACTTGCTCAATGAAATGGCCTCCAATATTCCATCTGGACTGCTTCCAACTCTTATGGCACCAAAGGCAGAGGAGGCTGAGATGCTTTAACACCTGCTACCTCAACCAAAGGCCTGGCAGAACAGCTCCATCTTACAGGCCTTGCAGAACTGTAATAGGTCCCACAGGGCTCTGATCTCAGGTGGGAGCATGTTCCACCAGGCCGGGGCCGAGGCTAAGTGGATGTCTCTCTGGCTGGGGATTACCAGGAGGTGTTGATCTGCGGAGTGCAAGGCTCTCCAGGGTACATATGGGGAGAGGTGGTCCCATAGATATGCTGGTCCCAAGCTGCATAGAGCTTTAAAGGTCAGTACCGTCACCTTGAACCGAATTCGGTATTCATTTGGCAGCTAGTGCAGTTGGCGAAGCACCGGCTGGATGCATGCCCACACAGGCATCACCACCAGCAGGCACACTGCCGCATTCTGCACTAGCTGTAGTTTTCCTGTCCAAAATACAGACTGACTGTGAGCAGTCTAAGCTGAGTTAGTGTGAGCTAGCTCACAGTTTTTTAGCCTCTGGCTCACACATTTTTGTCTCAGCTCAGGAAGGATGGCTCCAGAGCAAACTAATTTATGCAGTAGCCAAATTGCTCGCTCACAACTTTAATGCCAGTGGCTCACAAAGCAGAATTTTTGCTCACAAGACTCCACAGTTTAGAGGGAACATTGGCTGTGAGTAATCAAGCAGCTGACAGGAACATCTTTCTCTATATGGGAAAAACTTAGCTAGCTGTTAGTCAGCTTCTGGGTGCAATTCAAGGTGCTGATTCTCATCTTAAACATCTGAGTCCAGCATGCTCCACAGGATGCTTTCTCCAAGGAAGCTCCAATCCCATGATTAGGTCAGTTGCTGACACCCTGCTCCAGGTTTCACAGAAACAATCCTGCATAGCTCTTTCAGTGGTGGTCCCATCTTTTCAAGGTCCCCTTATAGAGACTGCTTATATGTCCTCACAGTATTTGGTCAAAATAACTTTGTGCTTACAAGTGTTTGGGTAGCTGCTTGTTTTGCTGTGGCTTGTGTTGGATGCCTGTTTTGTTCTTAGTATTTTACTCTTTTAAAATCTTGCAACTTTATAGTATTGTAACCCACCTTGGGGCCTGATTAAAACGAAAAGATGCTTATCAATTAATTTATTCAAAGTGCTGAAGATAGGAATTCCAGCTCAGTAGCAAGAAATTTATAATGTGTCACTTAGGGGTATTTGAGTGATTTTCTTGGAAATGTATATTTATAGATTTGAACTATCCAAGCAATTTGTGTTTTTTTTAAGAACAAAGGTTATAAATAATTAAAGCTATGTGTATTTATCATCCAATATTTTACACAACCTTCTTGATATGAAGCCTAACTATCTTTTCCTTTCAGAGTGTTCAACCGTATCTTGTGAAGACAAAAATGAGTAAGATCCGCAAACAATCCTTTTTTGTACCTACTCCTGAAATATTTGTAAAATATGCCCTCAATACAGTTGGCCTTGAGACCCAGACTTCTGGATACCCAACTCATTCCCTTTTGGTATGTTTTATATTCATACTTGATTGTATTTCTAATAGTAAATTACCTGCCTGACTTTTGTGCGGATAATGTTAGTAGCACAAATGGATCCAGGCACAAGGAGAAGGGGGGTTTCTGCATGCTAGAAGAGAGGGGGTTCCAGGCCAGGAGCTAAATGTCCCTCCCCTCTTCAACTTACCAAGCATAGTAACCACCCTCCTGCCTGACAGAGAGAAAGAACTGCACAAGGATCTTCCCTCTCCCTGCCACCATGGAACACCAGCATTTAACTGAAGGGTGGCATAAACTGAGGTCCCCTCGGCCTTCTCCAGATGCAGGAAAAGGATCTCCCAGACTGTCCACTGAGTCTCAAGGAAGTTTGGGAAGCAGGGACTAGACAGAAGATGGAAAACTCTTGTCATTGATCTCCTTCCCTCCCACACTCTAAAAAACTAGTATATCAAGGAGAGAACTCTCCTTCATACACATAACTCAGAATAAGCACTGATGTTTAAAATTCTCTTACACCTCTGCTGAGGAAGAAAAGGCATGAGGAAAAATGTCCAAAGCTGGGAAATAAAACCCCATACAAGTGGTATAACCTATTGGACTAATTTTTTCCAATATACTTACAAAAGGGCAGCTTGCTGTTTCCCCATAGACTCTGTTTCTTAAATCCACAAATATGATATCGCATTGTAGGGTTGGGGTCAGAGGGAAGGTAAGAAGCAAACTCCTTTTCTGCCATTCCACCCAAACATCTTGATAGCTTTCCTGTAGTTCTTAGAAGTCACTGTTTCTGAGTTTGAGGAAGGGCAACCTGCTGTTCAAAACTTGAAGATCAGATATGATCAAAAGTTGTCCTGTCTGAGTGGAGTTATAGGGCAAATATTGCAGACTATTGTTTGCTCATAAACAGATTCCTGACGCTTCCCCACTCCCAGGCAGATTTTCCCACCAAATTTGTTTTAATTCCCCTCTTTAACTGAGCCACCCTTCAGTAGCATATATTTCTTCTTTATTTTATAAGCTTTGACTGTCCCACCCTTACACATTAATTTAGGCTTCTAACCCAGCACAGGAATTTAAGAGAAAATATAGGAGCTATCTTGTCTTATATTTAAACCCTTACTAAAATGGCACTTGAGGCAAAGTAATTTTCAAAACAGAAACAATGGGGAATTTCAGACAGGTGCTTTCTCCCGGTAGGGAACCGATTCTCAACCGGGTGCTGGTCTGTCATTTCAGACAGAACCCGGTTGAGAATCGGTTCCCTACCGGGATCTGACTGCCATTTCACACTCAAAAGTCTCTGTTCCGTATAGGAACCGGGAGGGAAGCGATTTACCTGTCAACCGCTTCCGAGGAGTCTCCCGTTCCCTCTCCCGGTCGCCGAACCGCTTGTGAATCGGCTCCTTTCCGGTAGGGGCAAGCCGTGTGTGAAACGGCAGCCCTGTACCGGTTCATCTGGAAACGGAAGACTCCCGGCTTGAAACCGGGAGAAGACAGGTAATGTGAAATTCCCCAATATTTTATTGAACAGGCAAATAATGTATATAATAGGGGATTGTCAAGGTTTAGAAAGGCTGAGGTAAAACTTCATACTATATACAGATTTGAATTCATAGATCATACAAGAGAGTGTTGTTGGGGCTTATTTTCAGAGTTTCAGGATCTTTTCAATGAGAGGTGCTTTGCTTAGTATATTTCAGCACTAACACAGGTTCTTAATACAGTTTCTTAGAGGTAGCTTTTGCTTATAGTTTCTAGATTTCTCCCTTCAGAGTTCTAGGTTTTCCCTTTAGATATTAGTTTTTTATTAACTCCTGAGATGTCTAAGCTTCTCCCCTTTATCATAGACCAGGGTTCTCTTCCCAACCCCTTTCACTGGCAGGAAGTTATTATCCTTGTCCCTAACAAGCAATAACTCCTTTTACTATTTGGCTTGTATAGGAGTTCTCTCTAACTACCCAGAATTTCTGCCAAATCATTCTCCAGTATCCATTGTCTGTATAAAGCTGTTCTGTAGCTTTCTTGACTGAGAATCTAAATTCTCCCTCAGAGTAGTTCTAATATATTTAAGACAATGGGGTCCTTATTCTTCTCTCTATAGAAGTACTTTTCTATTGCCTTTCTGACTATTGCCTGACTCCCAAAGTCTCTTTCCTCAGAAAGACCATTTGGAGTTTAAGACTGGTTCTTTCCAGTTCAAAAACAGCAGACTAGCTGTTGAAAATTCATAACTTCAAACTGTACAGTTCTGCAGAGAGATGTACAAGGGGAAAAATAAGTGAACTTGGAGGTGGATAGAGGATTATAGAAGAATCTATATGCAATCCTTACCAAATCTGAATTTATTTTACTATTAACATAAAAATTGTACTCCTTGGCACATTTATGGAATTTAAAGGTATAAATACTTTAACTTTGTTCAAACAAAATAGTAAATATACTCAACACTAGAAAGAGCTTAAATCTACCATGCCATGTACTACCTAGTTTTTGCTATCTGAAGTAAGAAAAAATAAAAGCTGAAAATGGGACCCATGCTTTTTGTAATAAGGTTTATTCGACCTTAGAAACTGTCAGTACAATCACAAGATACCAGCTGATTCAGATATTGAGTGAAACTCGATGATGTATGATGTTATATTCTCATCATATACATAGTGTCATGGATAACAGTCACTTTTAAACAATAAAATATCTGAAAATATATTGTTTTGAATGCAGTAGTTTCTTACATAAATGTTCATACAATAGTAGGCTGCCTTTTTGGCTCCAGTGCTAAAAAATGCTGCCTCAGCCTATGAAGACATTGTGTGCTAGCAAACAAAATGGGAGTGAGGAGATAATAAATCTTCTTGGTTCGACACGCTTGGAGCAAGCCAAGCCCCAATGGCATCAGGGAATTTGCCTTGGACTAAGCTGGTAGCAGTGCAATCTGTGAGGTTGGGATGGGCATAAGCCATGTCATTTCTCCTGCATTACTGGCTCCAGCAGTACTGCCACTGTTTCGGTTGGTCAGGTAAAGATGTGGCTATCTTAGGAAAGAAAATGATGACTCTTAATAAGATTCTCTGGAAATGGGTGTGGAGGATTTTTGTTTTGGTAACTTTGGTTTGCTTAAAAATGTTCTTGCATTCAGTGACTGGATAACAAGTGTTTTCCTCTCCTGTCTCTTAGGCCTGGATCAGCAGGGCTTTGCCCAAGTGGTATCGCACAAAGCTCATGGTAGACCTGTGCTTGAAAGCAAGAGCCCATAATTTGAAGAAACTAAAGGAAAACTGAGCTGCATCATCTTGACAAGATCCTCGGTAGCTTTGTATCCACAGTCAAGTACCAAATACTTTATTGTATCTTAAATACTTTGAACAGTTTTTTGAGGACCAGAGAACAGCATGAAGCAAGAGAAAGCTGAGTGAGGGTAAAGGCCTTGATTAGTCTGTATATTTCTTCTTTTTTCGCCTTTGTTTTAAAATGTGCTTTGTTAGACGTGACCCAAAATAGAACTGTATTGCTTGTTACACTAGTTTTGTGGTCATACAGCAGAATGTGTCAGTAAGAGAACTTGTTGAAAGTGGTACTTGGTCATCCTACACTGTTTACAGTTGTCAGAACAGGACATACATTATTTTCATAAATAACAATGTAATTATCTTTACCAGAGATGGCACTTTGGTAATTATCTCTGAATTTGGAGTAGTACTGCTTCATATCACATAGTGGCCATAAGATCTTTGCCTTGTCAGTGTTAGTACCGGTCCTGTGATGGATGCCTTCGGATATCCTACACCCACATAGATGTCTCTTTTGGGCAATTTGGAGTTGGGGAAGAGGAGGAAGGAAGACAGTCATCTCAATCTACCTTTATTGAATTAGGATTGTAAGGGAAGGGTGCCTTTATGTCAGGTACCCTTCTGTGGTGAAATGTGAACTGCAAACATAATACAGTGTTCTTCAGTGATGCAGTCACAGCCCTCAGTCATCTTCAGAGACCACGCAGGACTGTAAATGTGAATGTTTCAATATATGTCATTCAAGGAAAGGTCTTAATGCAACAGCTATGTAGATCTAACACACTGGCAAAGCCACTCTTGTTATTAATACTGATCATTTTAGTAAAATGATTTCTTTGGGTTATAACAAATGGGTTGAAGAGGGATGCTACAGGCTGCAGTAATAACACAATATATATTACCACCCTGCTGCTTGGTCATTGTTGTATAAAAATTGTTGATACCTGAAATGTGATTAAAGTTAAATAGTGGAAATGAGATGTTTTGACTCACGTTAGCTCTCTCTTAATGGGCATAATGAAATGAGTTCCATTTGTCAGGAAACACATTAAATGTTTTGCCTGTCTTTAAATGCAAAATTAGGAATATATTTGGTTTATCTGTTCCAACCAGATGTTTGAGAGCCAGGAAAATGAAAATGTTATGGGGTTGGATCTTTCCCTGCCTTCCCCCCCTGCTGCTGAAGGAGCAGGGACATCTGCCAGCTACTTCCACAGGCTTTTCCATGGAGATCAAAACCCTAATGCATTTTTAGATACTTGTTTGTAGAAAATAACCTCTACAGCTTACTTGGTTGGCTGTGAATTAACTCGATGTTGAGCCATAAAAAACAAACAACAACAAAACCACTGGGCTATTTTATCAAGTTGAGACTTATCGTACAGTATATCAGTACACCTTGAGTAAATATAGAAAGCAGGTTGCCTACTCCCTGACTACAACACTAAGTTTTGGTCTCTTGAAATCCATTGCCTTTGTCAAGTTGTACATGCACAGAAAAACCATTTTTTCTTACAGTTTGAGCACATTTATTGTCACTACAAAGGCTAAAAACTTGAATTCTTATGCTGCCCTTGGAGGAATAATTGAAGGCTCCAATTTGAGAGTTAAAGTATGTTTAAATGTTATTGTACATAGAAAATAAATGAAAACCGATACAGTGGTGCTGATCAGGTATGCAAAATGAATTTTGTCCGGGAATGTATTTTCGTTTTTTTAGTATTTGAAAGGGCAGATTTGGGCTGTATGAAGCTGTGTATGCACAACAATTTGGAAGTGGTGGGGAAGGGCATTTGAAATAACTGGCAAGCCTATGCAACAGAGTGCTTTTTCTAACCTCTTATTATAAAACTGAAATTTAAAATAAACAGTTCCCTAAATGTTTAATGGTTTCTTCCTTATTCGTAAACCCTTTGTACGATTGACTCATTCTTATATCTACAGTGAAAAATATCTTTGGAGCTCTGGTAAAGAACATAAGAAGAGTCAGTATCCTGTCTCACACAGTGGCCAACCAGCTCCTCTGGACAGCCAACAACAGAGCATAGAGGCTGAGGCCTTCCTCTGATGTTGCCTCCTCGGGTTCAGAGGTACAGTGCCTCTGAAGGTTCCCCTCAGGCACCATGGCTAGTAGCCATTGATAGACTTCTCCTCCATGAATCTATTGAGTCCCCTTTTAAAACTGTTATTTCCTGTGGCCATCACATCTTCTGGCAGCAAATTCCACCTTTTAATCACTCTCTGTGTAAAGTAGTAGTTCTTTTTATCCATCCTGAACCTACTTGCCCATCCGTTTCACTGGATGCCCTTGAGTTCTAGTATTTTGGGAGAGGAAGAAAAATTTCTCTTTGTCAACTCTCTCCATCCCATGCATAATTTTATAAACCTCTATCATGTCCCCCATTAGTCGTCTCTTTTCTAAACTGAAAAGAAGAGGAGATTGGATTTATACCCCGCCCTTCACTCAGAGTCTCAGAGCGGCTTACAAACTCCTTTCCCTTCCCTTCCCCACAACAAACACCCTGTGAGGTAGGTGGGGCTGAGAGAGCTCTCTCGAGGACTGCTCTTGAGAGAACAGCTCTGACAAAACTATGGCTTGCCCAGGGTCATCCAGCAGCTGCAAGTGGAAGAGTGGGGAATCAAACCCGGTTCTCCCAGATTAGAGTCCATGCACTTAACCACTACACCAAAAGGCCCAAACTATTCAGGTTTTCCTCATAAGGAAGGTGCTCCAACTCCCTAATCATCTTGGTCATTCTCCTCTGTGCTTTTTCCAGCTCTGCAATGTCCTTTTTGAGATATGATGACCATAACTGTACACAATATTCCAAATGAAGCCACACCATAGACCTATACAGGGGCATTACAATATCAGTTGTTTTATTCTCAGTCCCTTTCCTAAAAATCCCTAACATAGCGTTTGCCTTTTTCATAATTGCAGCAGACTGAGTTGATAATTTCATTGAGCTATCCACTACAACCCCAAGATCTTTTCCCCTCTCAGTCACAGCAAGTTCAATCCCCATTAGCCTATACTTGAAGTTCGGATTTTTTTTTGTCCCAATGTGCATCACCTTACACTTACCAACATTGAACTTCATTTGCCACATTGTCACCTACTCACCCAGTTTGTGGAGTTCTTCACAATTAGGCTTGGTCTTCACCATCCTGAATAATTTTGTGTCATCTGCAAACTTGGCCATTACACTACTCAGCCCTAGTTCCAGATCATTTACTAAATAGTACCAGCCCTAATACTGATCCTTGTGGGACCCCACTGTTTACTTTATTGTGAGAACTGTTCATTGATTCCTACTCTTTGCTTCCGGTCATTTAACCAGTTTTGAATCCGTAAGAGAACCTGTCCTTTTATCCCATCACTGCTAAGTTTATTCAAGAGTCTTTGGTGAGGTACCTAGTCAGAAGTCTTTTGAAAGTCCGAATATATAATGTCTACTGGGTCACTGTTATCTACATGCATGTTCACTTTCTCAAAGAACTCCAAAAGGTTGGTGAGGCAGGACTTCCATTTGCAGAAGCCATGCTTATTTTCCCTCAGAAGGCTTTGTCCCTCTATGTGCCTAACAATTCTATCTTGAATTACAGTTTCTACTTATTTGCATGGGACAGACATTAGGCTCACTGGCCTGTAATTTCCTGGTTCCCCTCTGGATCCCTTTTTAAAAACTGGTGTCACATTTGCTTCTCTCCAGTCTTCTGGTACAGCAGCTGAAAGTAGTGATAGGTTACATATATGGGTTAGTAGATCAACTATCTCACATCTGAATTCCTTAAGAACTCTTGGGTGTATGCCATCAGGACCTGGAGATTTACTGGTTTTTAATTTCCCCAGTAGAATTAGGGCACCCAAATGTGTCTCCCATGGCTAGTCAAGAGAAAACCTTACCAGGGGGAGGGAAGTATGTGTTTGTTTTGTAAATGGATATAAGGTGGCAGTAATGTTCTTACATCTAAACATTAAAAACACGGAATTTAAAAATAAAGATGGGTGTACACTATGGAAAACAAGTTGGAAGCAGCTGAGAAACTGGGAGTGGTGAGAGAAACAATTGGGAAATCCCCCCACCCCGGTGATAAAAAAGAGACTGGAAGGATTTGTAAGAATTTTCTGCTTTGTTTTGTAAATATTGACCTTAAACGCTGAATGCTTAAAGCAGCGGTGTCAAACATGTGGCCCACGGGCCAGATCAGGCCCCTGGATGGCATCTATCAGGTCCGCAGTGGCTGTTTGGGGCAGTGGTTAGGAGCGTGGACTCTAATCTGGGAGAATCAGGTTTCATTCCCCACTCCTCCATATACAGCCAGTTGATGTGACCTTGGGTCAGTCACAAGTTCTTTCAGGGCTGTTCTCTCACGAGCAGTTCTCAGGAGAGCTCTCTCAACCCCACCTACCTCAGGGTGACTATTGTAAGGAGGGGAAGGGAAAAGAGACTGTAAGCCACTCTGAGACTGAAGGGTAGGGTATAAATCCAATCTCTTTTCTTCTTCTTGCTTCTTCTTCCAGTTCTAATGCTGCTGCATCATAGCTTGTTTTGCCAGACTCTCTCAATCACTCAGGAGAGATAGATACGCAAGTTTCTGTTCCCTGCACTGGCTGAGGCTCCCCCCCTTCCCAGGAGGAGAGAGAATGAACCAGAGCTTGCTTTCTGGCCAGGCAGCCTCAATCACACAGAAAACAAAGGGTAGCTTTCTTCCCCTCCATTGGCGAGGCTCCTCCCCGAAGGGAGGGAAGGAGGGAGAGTTTGCTTTGCTTGGCTGCCTCAATCACACAAGAGAAATACAAAGCACCTTTAAGACCAATAAAGTTTTATCCAAGATATGAGCTTTTGTGTGCCTTGCTACAGTGTGCGTGTTTTGTTGGGCTTGTTATGCTATAGCTCTCCTGGGTGTAACTAGGTTCCCTCCCCCTTTTCACTATATTCACACCCTCATGATCCAGTCTTTATCAGTAGGAAAACAATAACTGTTTAGATGAGGAATAACAACAAAACAGTGAGGTGGATTAGGCTAAGAGTGTGTGTCCAGACTAAGTTCACCCAGCACATTTTCTTTGGGAATTCTGAACTTAGACTTCCCAGATAGTAGCTAAGTTCATCCAGCACATTTCCTTTGGGAATTCTGAACTTCCCAGATAGTAGGCTGATACTGATCACTGAGAAAGACTAGTTTTGTAGAGAAACACATAGCCCTCAGTCTGTGTCATGGTGCCTTCTCATGTTCTTGACCAGCTTGCAATGCCCAGCCGTTTGTTTTCCCCTGGGTCCTAGACTCAGAACTCTGAGCCTGAGATTTCTGTAGTGAATGTCAATAAGTCAAAAGTAGGTTTGAACCTTACAGATACACACTTGAACAGCATACTCAAAATTGCAACAGCACAGACATTTTGATGCAGTAACTCAGAGCAAGAGGTGTCAGTTATCAGACACTGTTAAATAAACAAAATATTGCAAGAGTGCTAATGTTTTAAGCATGTTCTTATTTTAAGTTAAAAAAAGCACCTTTGTGTTTGTGTCCTTTATAAAGTTTATATCTCTGCTACCTGGCATTACATTTTATGACATATATGGCCTGGCCCAACAAGGCCTCATTTATGTCAGATCCAGCCCTCATAACAAATGAGTTTGACAACCCTGGCTTAAAGGGATATGCTCAAACAGCCCTAAGTACTGCAGTCAAAACAGAGAACTAGTTACTAAGCTGGAGAAGTAGGCAATAAAGTTATTTGTATAGTAGTGAAGCAACCCTAGAAGCCAAAGGAGAGACAGGAAGCCAGTCTGTGGGCCCTTTAGCCTCGAAGTGACCAAGTAGTTTTAAGTTTCTCTTTCCATGCCTTGGTGAAATAACAGAGGGACTGTTTTTTAGGATTTGTGGGGAGATCTCTCTAAGAAGTGGGGCAGCCATATTTGGGGTCATGCTTTAAAAGAGCTGATAGTCTTAAGACACAGGCACATGGTCTGAAGATAACCAGCCAAATGAATAAGATGATAAAACTGAGATTGACAGAATCCGAACAAGAAGTCTGGAACCATTAAGTTAACATTTAAATTAATTGAACTCTACAGAAGGAGCATATATGTTTACATATTTGATTTTCCTGTGCTCAGTTGTAGTCCTAAATTGTTCAACAATGTGTTTTCTGTGTATCAATTGTATGCTGCATTCCTCAAGATTTTTTTAAAAAACATTTTTTTCCTGAAATTGAGGTTGCAGACTCAAATGGCTCCAAATGAAGCCCCAAGCTTTGGGCTCATGTGTACCAAGGTAAAAAGAGAGCTTGCATAGTTGTGGTCAATAAGATTTCTAAATTTTTGCTTCTTCCTCCCATGCAGAGGGAGAGGTTTCTGATACTTCTACAGAGGCTGACTTAGGCTAATCAGACAACTGCCAAACTCGCTGTCTCATTTTGCCATGTATTTGGGGAAATTTGTTATTTGTGGCCTGTGGAAGCAGCGGAACAAGGAGAACGACTCAGTGGGAGGAGTCAATTCCTTGCTAAGATCTCTCTGCTTAAGATCAATACCAACAGTTCCCTGTGGTAAAAACAGAGTCCTAAGGGGATGTGTTAGAATACCACACCACACACAGGATATTATCAGACTTAACCTCTGAGGCTGGATTAGTCTCCTTGCTTAGTCCTCAGCAGTCTAGCACTGGTTGCTGGGCAAGACGTTCATACAGCCCTGTACTTCTCTCTATTTTTACTTCACTCCCCCTGCTATTGGAAAAACTGAAGGAGAAATAGGGTGGTTAATGCATTCCCTGATCCTAGTTTCACTTTCCCCTGGATGTGATATACCATCTAAAGCTCTTTCTTTGTAGTATAGCATCCTGGCTGTGATGAGAAATAAGGA